AATTAACTACTCTGCTAGGTTTGCTAATTTTATGCTGTGTGTTAGCACGAAGAACCTGAGACTGGAAATATGCTCGTATTCACGGTCGGGCTTTATTTTATCTGTGGTTCTAAATTTCAGGGTCCAGCACGTTTTAACTTTTGTCTTTGGAACAGAAGGAAGTGTTGTCGCACCTGTCATGGTAGCTCCTTTAGCCACCCACTGGGAAGATTTTAATGTTATATTGCGCCCACACAGCCTCGAACTATGGCTTTTTGACACTGTCAGAAGACTCGTGTTTCCTGGCAAATGCCAGACAAGCTCGGAGATAGCCTTAAATAAACATTAGTAGCAAGGCGTGGAAGGGCAGAAGTACCTGTAACATGTGTATGGACAGTAATGACGCAAATTAGGGACTTCATGTGAGCAATGTTTTCTGGAATCTTATGGGATTGCTTTTACGTGCGTTTTAACACACCGACAGTGTTTTGTACGCGAATAGGGGCACACCCGGAGCCAGTAAAGCAGGAATCGAGGCTTTGCTGCTTTCATTGCTGAATTAGCTTTAATACCACAGGGCTTGCTTACTAGAAACGTCTGGCATTGAGCTAAGGAGTTCAAAATATGTTATTCAAAAACTGAAGTCAATGCATAACTTTTAATGCGCGTGCTACGCAAACAGCAAATCTTTTAGACTTCTTGGCGGACCTGGCCAGTCCGTCAACCGTAAATATAGAAACTTTCTCAGGAAGAAGAAGGATAAAATCCGGCGCACGTCTGTCTAACTGAAAATAGTTTTGGTGATGATAAAATTGCCTTTGCTCGTAGAAATTATTTACACTGTCCTTCGTTGAGCTAACTTCCGGCATTTCGTGTTGCATCAACATAGGTCGAAGTGCCGCCTGATGTCGCGGCGAGAACGCGGTTTGCCAAGTATCGAGGACTTCCCAGCTTCAACAAGTGTACATGGCCCACTAAGGACGATCCTTCTCTTCCGTATGAGTATGGCAAGATATTTCGGTACGCTGACCTTTGCACCTTATTGCCTATCTCTCTTTCTAGCGTCTCTTTTGAATCAGGCACATTGTCTTTGCCTTTTGTCATATTTTTCACGTATCCCCATTCAACCTGTGAGGTCGTGTTTCATGACTGATTCGTCCTAGAGCACAGAGGAAGGGTTTTACTCCGATGAAAGCGGGCACGAACGATCGCGCTGGGAAGGGCAAAGACTTCCGGGTTGCTACGTAGGCAGATCGCAGTCTTAACCCCACGATAGTTTTACCCCTCTTCCCTTGGTCTGAATATACAGTAGATTCCCTAGCTCCTTAAATGTAAATTGAAATTCTGAAGCGGGTTTTTGTTCGCCGTTTTGGTTACCATGCAGTCTAACCCCAGTATATCTCAGTCACGCCAGAATGCCGGCTTTCGAAGAACTATGTAAAATCGGTTACTTAAGTAGTATGTATTTTTCATTAATTTTAAACGCCCTTATAAATTTATATATATTTTAAGGAAACCGCACACAAAATATGCCTTTCTTGTACTCGTTTGGTAGCAAATCACGCCTTCTTCAAACTTCATATTTGAATTAAGCGTATCCTCCAGTTTTAAAGATTTTTCGAATTATGAGATTCATAGTACATCGTGCCTGTGAATTTGTCCATTTTGCTTAGAAAGTGTGCAAGATGATCCACACCTATTGCACAATTTACTGAAAACTATGTGACCTCCCCATCAGAGCGTAGAGAAATGTGTGATTTTTCTTAGACGACTTGTAGTCTGGAAAACTTGAACTCAGGTGCAACAACTAATAAAGTTACCGATTATTCAGCAATTCAGAAAGTTGTTGAATCACAAATGTACCGTTTTTTTCATAGAAACTTTTTTAAAGAAGGCATAAGTTGATACCAAACGAGTAACAAAAAGAAATTTTTGTGCATGGGTTCTTTAAAAATATATTTGAAAATCGTTTTCATCACCCTCAAAGAAGGCTTGAGCCGTGTGCGTACCGCCTGGTAGGCGGGATGAAGGTTTATGGTTTTGTTAAGTGTGCTAGTCGAGGACCCACCTAGCAGCAGTCTGGCCATCTTGTCATTGGCTCGGCCTACTATCCTTGCTCTGTCAAAGGCGAAATTATGGTTCTTCTGTTGTACGTGGCCATAGGCTATCTTGTGGTTGATTGCTAGCTGATGCTCATGAAACCTTATACCAGGGCGTCTACCCGTTTCACCAACATAAAATGCATCACAGTTTTGGCATGGTATGCTGTGCACCACTGCTATTTGTTGTGAAAAAGGTAGCGGGTCTTTGGGCCTCATCTGCTGTCTGATGGTTGACTTGCCAACAAATACGACAACCACACAAAGAAAAAGGTCACGCGAGCCCATCAGCGGTCAATCGCACGGTCAAACAGCAGCGAACAGATAGTCAAAGTTCGTGCGTCGGGCACGGATATAATACTAGGCAGGCGGCAAAATTAAAACAGTCACGGCAAACAGGAACAATCACTCAGTTACCCTGACGATGGACCCGAGCGAGTGTTCCGAACGGCAGTTTCAAAATAATTCGGTCCACGTCCTCGTACCTTCTTCGTTTTCTTTGGCAGATGATGAAGACAATGAGATATCTGGACCTCGAATCTTCACGCATATATTTAAAATTCAGTAAAAAAAATGCATACTGCTCAAGTAGCTTCTTGCAGGCAGCCAGAATAAAGCTCCTTTAAAAGCTGGCATCCTGACATATGTAAAATATTTTGAAAATGAGCTGTACACTAATAACTATTACAACCCTACTTTATTCGAGTCGAAAACTCATTTCATAAAATAAAGAATCTACTGTATTGCAAATGAAGTCCCAGTGGGAGAGGAGTTGGCTGTAGGCACTAGTTTGTGGTGGCAAGTTCGAGAAATCGTATTCCACGTTGAACAGGGGAGTGAAGGTATGCTTGGTCGTATAGTTAATGATTTACGGTCCTTATCTTGTGTTAGCCGCCGCCCCATACATTAACACGTGTACACACGTGTACGTGAAAAAAATCTTCTGCATTTATTTCTGCCGAACCTTTATGGAAAACCGACCCCGTCTACGTGCCTGGATTTCTAAATTCCAAGCTGTGGGTGGACTGTTTTCGCTTTCACAAACCGTCACGTTAATCAGTAACAGAAGGCTGTGAACCATGAATAACGTGATGTAACTATTCGCTCCCCTATTACTGAAAAGTCATGTGGTGGTTTGGTCTGACAGTCCGGTGGCTATACTCACCACCTCTTTCTTTGCGCACCTGAACGAGAAAGCTCGCTGTTCAACGGTCCTTCCAGGCTGGGTGCCTAATTCAGACAACAGCCGTCTAAATGTGACATTAAAAGCACACACGGCTCCATTCTACAACCTTTACTGAGGAAGGAATGTCCTGCCTTGCTATCTTTAGTTGTAGCCGGTAGGAAAAGGATGAGGGCGCTTTTTTCTATCTCGTCATTTAATTAAACTGCCTTTTAGGACAGACTATGGGAAGTGGGACACTGTACCAGCGGGGCACGGAGTCCGAGGGTCAACTTCCTGAATGAATACAAGTGTCTATCATTGTTGCCGGAATGATAAGCCTAGGAGTTTCAGTTAAATTAGTAGTGCATTGGGCACTTTTCGAAATCCAAAGTGCACAGTTTTTGGATTTTACTTGAGACAGTTCAGAGAATGCACTATATTCGGAGCGCCAGAGGAGGTTTACTACGAGACCAAATTGACCTGTGGTAGGGATTTATCGTAGGGCCGCCTGAGGGAAGGTATTAATAATAATATACTACTTGCTCCATCTAAACAGGTCAAATTTACGCCTATTCAAACAATTCTTAGATTATGCTAACCATTAGGAATTGCTCTGATAGTTTTCTTGGTCTATGGGCGTCCTTTTCAGTATGTTTTGTAGTTAGCGCAACATTTTCACCTGAATTTTTAGTTCAGTTAAACAATTATAAACGGTTTTAATTTCTTTATTGTTGCGTATTTATCACGCAATCTATACGGCTCGCGGTGTGCGCAACCACAAGAATTAAGTAAACAACTTGGGCTGGGGGGACGTTTGTCATTGGGCGGCCCTTTGATTAATTCTTGCCGACCTGTGTATAAACGGCTTTCATTACACTCCCAACAAAATATTTACAAGCTCACTTAATGAGTCTGGATATATTTTTTTTCAGTGTAAACAACCCCCTCCAGAATTTTACTTATTTTGTCCCGCAGAATTTAAACATACATGTTATTTGGCAGGTTCGCAAACTACCCACACAATCGTCGGACCATCGTGAAGTACACGTTGGCTCAGTTGCGTCAACTTGCAACTGGTGAGGCAGTTGACCCTCTTGGTAGCCCCCTGCGTATCCCCTCCGGTTCGCTGGCCACCCTCACGATCGGCCCAATGGATCGTCAGATGGCTTCAACCCTGCTCTCCGCGCACACTCAGAGTGCAGAGGCCGGTCGCCAGGCTCAGCCCCTCGTGGTATGGTCCTTACTGCCCTACGAACGCTGTCTTTCGGTACTGCATCTTGTGCTGCAAAAACGTGCAAACGAACTGGCGCCGGAGGCCTCACCAAACCCCAAGGGTAATAACGCCTTTGATCCTGATCCCATAATGGCAAAGGAACCCACCCTCTTCCAGGTACGTAAACGAAAGTCAGCACCCCATATATTATACGCATACTGCTGGACACTGTCTTGTGTTAGCGCTGGACTGCCTTTTCAGCCTATTTGGGATCATAATAACTGTTGGCTTTTGTCAAACTCTTACTAAAGGCTT